CCTGTCTGGTTGGCTGTACCTGTTGCATTTCTTGGTCTCACTTGTGATCAATTCAGAGAATGAAAGTAATTTGCCCAAATCTTTGACATCCCCTAGTTTCTAAAGCACAGCCAGGCCCTTGTCCTGCCCAGCCCATGGGGAGCCAGGACCCCCCTACAGACCCACTGGCAGGGCAGGGTTACCCACCACTGTGCCCAGTGAGTGGCTGGACGTGGGGAGCACCAGGGGGGCTTCTCCAGCCTTCAGTGGTTTCAAAACTATTTTCTTTTATTGCTCTTGTTAGGAAAGTGGTGGGAAAATCCCACCCAAACCAACCTGCAAAATACTAATTCAGATGAAGCCAAAGGTCCCAGCAGGAAATTCTCTCGTGCTAAAACCACTGCCCACGTTTGGACACAAACAAGCTCAGCTCAGCCCCGTGGGTCAAACTCATTTCCAACTGGCCTGGGAAGGGTCCTGCTGGCTCGGTTGGACTCCGGATCCCCCGTGGTGGGGGAGCAGGGCACACACTTCACCCCGTCACGGGTTGGCTTGATCGATGCTGACCCGCCCCGGGGCAGAATCCTTGGCACGGAACCGCCCGGCTGTGGGGCGGTGTGGGGGGGCAGGGGGGTCCGAAGGGAACACCCGGGCTCTGGCACCTAACGGGGCTCTCGGTTGCAGCCGGTTCCCGCAGCCGGGGGGAGAGCGGCAGCCCCGCAGCGCAGCCCCCGCAGCCCCCGCAGAGCCCCGCGGCGAGAAGAGCGACCTACGCGGGTAAGGGGGTCCCGCAGCCCCGGGACCTGTCCCGGAGGTGCCTCCGGGCACTGCCCCCTCCTCGGGCAGCTCGGGGACAGCCGGGGGGCGGGAGGGGGCGCAGGGCGGGCACCCCCACTTCCCGTTCCCCCCCGTTCCTCCCCCGGGCTTTCCCTGGGATGCTGAAGAGGGGAGGGATCACGCTGATGCAGCTTTTCGGGTTTCCAGTTTTCCCTCTCGGCTGCGTTTGCTTTTTCTCCCTGCTATGTTTTTTTTTCTTCCCTTGAGCCCCCCAAGTGCCCACGGAGGCGGCAACGTCTCTTGTTTTTAAGGGAGCAGTGACACGTCTTCATCAACCTCGGAGGACTCGGAGGGCAGCCCTGCCTGCCCACAGGTATGGCCAGAAAGCAGAAAACCTTGGGTTTAGATAATTTTTTTTTGCGTTTTTGTTGTGGTGGGTTTTTGTTTGTTTGTTTATGTTTGTTGTTTTTTTTCTCTTGATTGCCAAAAGCAGCCCCAGGCAGGGAGGTGCTGCTCTGTGGCTGCACCGCTCCGTCCCCCCCTGGGGC